GAGAGGAAATGTGGAACGTGTGTGCGCAACCTTCGTGATCAGACCACGGAATTCAACCCGTCGTACAAGCCAGGAGCTGCAGATTCCCCACATTATCGTGCACAAGATTCTGCTAAAACGGTTACGTTTGCATTACTACAAGTTGAGGATACGGCAAGGATTGCAGGATGATGACAAGCCAAAACGGGAACGGTTCCGCTGCAAATTCTTAGCACGCATGAAAGCAATGAGACATTCCTTGACGATGTAATATTTAGCGACGAAACAAAGTTTCGCATTTCTGGACATATTAATAGAAACAATTGCAGAATCTGGGGCAGTGAAAACCCTCATGAAATTCTGGAAACCCAGAGGGACAATCCAAAGGTGAGCGTGTTCTGTGCCATCGAAAGCAAAAGTGTATTTCAAGCAACACCCTCATTGGACACACGTACCTTGACATGTTGGAGAATTACCTGATGCCACAATTGTAGCAGGATATCGACTTGCAGGAATTGTTATTCTAGCAAAGTGGGTCCCCTCCATATCACCATCGCACAGTGATTGCCTTTCTGGACTCAACCTTACCAGGGTGGATCGTTCGTGGATTTCTATTTGCAGTACTAGTACGGCCTGTACTAGTACAATCCCCTGTCCATGCCTGTTCCATTGGTAGGCAGGAGACGTAGAACAGTGCAGAGGTTGATCTTCCCCTGAATCAAAGTAGAGAATATAACTAGAGGCGACGCTCCGAGGGGTAGGGGAGGGTCGAAATATTACAAAGACATCTGGCGACTTGTTATCAACAACACTTCCATGAGGAGGTGTTGTTGATAACAATCAATTACTCATATCACCCCATAGATGAGGAAACGGAGGGTAAAGTCCACGGTTAATTTTATGCTCTAATACTCCTTTCAGATTATCGGAGTGATTTTTTTTTGCCCTGCGATCCCCACGTGCTGGGATCGCCGCAGCCAAGAGTTGGGTGAGAGGGCAGGTTCTTGAACATTATTGGAAAGAGAAAACTGGCTGCAAGTAGCCTTACTTCATTTAGCGGGCCTAAATTATGTTCTAGGTCCAGTCAGGTTATCAATAATAGCTTGTACTATTTATGTTTTTTAGCGCTTCAATGACCTTTTATTTACACAGCATGCCCTTTACAGAAAGAGGATGCAAGGTGGGGATGATTGAAATATACAATTGGGGGTATTGAGATTAATGATGATGCGTTGGGGTTGAAGTGCAGTCTTGGACTTGGGTGGGTCCGCAGCCAGCCACCAGGAGGTGTTTTCAGGCCAGCCTATTTATGTCCAGTGATTGAGGCTTCTCATATGGAATATGAGCTTGTTTATGGCCTGGGCTCCATGATTCTGTCTCGAATACGCGGGTAACAATGATGAAGTGTCCGTGTTTATTGATTGCTATAATGAGACTAGGCGAGACATATGGTGAAATACTAAACACTCCTGTGAGGGACGATTGCGAAGAAAGAGGGAAGGGTACTTCTGTGGACCGTGCGAAAAGCGAGACCTTTACCTCCATCTAGCGGCCTGAAGGAGAACAACATTTCCCAGAAAACTTATAAGTGCGGTCAGGCACATTGGATCATCGCGTCGGTCCAATATTGGATCGATGATGGAATGGCAATATTGAGACTATTGCCCAAGATGAAGCCAACGTGCCCAATGTCGGTTCAGCATTGAGCCAATTTCTGGTGCTACTGGTGGTGGCCCGAAGTAAGACAAATCATGATTAGCGCTCTGTCCTTGGCCGATGATGAACAACATCAAGGCAAGCCAACCCAATGCGATGAATGGACTGATGTCGTTCGCCAATGATGCGCCATGAATAGCGAGCCAACCTGTAGCCTTAATTTGGCCAATGTCTTCTTAAGTGTTCTTGTCTATAGGCAGGTCCTAAGGCATCCAATTTTTCCATTCCAATCAGTTCTCAGTTCTTCCACAAACGACCCTTCCTTTAGTTCCACCAGCGTGCAAATTCTTTTTCTTCCTCTAGGTCATCTCCCTTCCATTCTTCCTTCTATCACTTCCTTCAGCAATCCTCCGCGTAGAATGTCCAATCCAAATATTTATTCTCACAATCATTTCTACTAGTCGTCTTTTTTTCCCAACAACTTCCAGTACTTCTTCATTTGTTTTTCGTTTTATCCAGCTTATTCGTTCCATCTTTCTCCACACCAACATTGTACAAACCTCTAACCTGATGTCTTCCTTCCTCAGAGTCCATGCCTCTGACCCATATAAAGCCACACTGCACACCACTGCCTTCGCTATCATTTTCTTCACTTCTTGGCTCATCCTCTTAGTTAATAACTCGTTTATCTTCTTTTCTCTTCTTTTTTTGCGATCTTTGCAAAATCCTCTGGCCATCCTCCTTGCTAGTACATGTTTCTGCATAAGTCTATCAATTCCTTTGTTGCCTTTTCTCCGAGGTTCTTTCAAAATTACCTTTATCCTTAATGGAAGAAAGCTCCTCCAGTTATTCCTCCTCTCGAGGTTCCGGTATGGGAGGAGGAAGCAGTGGGTCATCTGGGTACTCTTGAGTGCTGGTGTAGATGAGTCTTTGGAAGTCTAGGATAATTAGACGGTACACGAGTACACAAAGTATTTAATGGAATGGGAGAAATACAGTGTGTCATTTCCCTTCAAAAGGACGAATTGGCTCGTTAAAAACGAATGATTTGTGGGGGGGGGGGGGATTAACATCAATTTTACATAAAATGAACGTAAGCATGCTGCTTGGGTATGTACTCCTTCCACCTGTTCCTTATCTTGTCTGGCTCTGTCAACAACTCTCCATTGCTGTATTTGATCTCACTTCTCTTAATGCTAGCATTTCTTCGTCGAGTGTTCGGCCTCACCTTGTAATACATCAGATCTGACCACCTCTTTTGTCCATCTCCTCCGGTTTTCTACACGCTTCATTCCACCACGTCTCTCTAGCTTTATCCGTTTCTCTCCTAAGGTCATAATTTAGTTGCTGGTATCTCTTCCTCCCTTCTGTGTTCATATTCTTCCATTTCCATCATGCATCTATTTTTTTTAACATTTCGTCTCTAACCCATGGCTTCTTTGCTTCTCTTTGTTTCCTGTACCCAATTTTGTTTTCTGCACTCTCCACCAATACCTCTTTCAGATCTCTCCACTTTTCCTCCACTGTGCATCATTTTTCATTACAATACGTACCTGACCTTTTCCTTAACTTCCTCCTGAAATTCCTCTGCTCTTTCTGGCAAACGTTCTATATCCCACTTCCTCCTTATCTTGCTCCTCTACACTTTCTTCAACTTTACTAACATTGACATCGCTACCGGGTTGTAGTCAGAGTCCCCTTCTGCTCCAGGATAGCTGCACGCTTTTTTCACACCATTTTGGTATCTGCCAATGAAGCATCAAATAATGGCTAGCCGAACTAGAGTCATGAATGGGCAAATCATGACTGCCAATGTCGATGACTTGCCGACGATGTCACGCAAGGGCCATTATTGTTCCAAGCTTTTTAGTAATCTGGGTATGTACTTCTAGGTATTCGTGAAAGGTACCAGAGTGTACGTCCCTCTATTATCATATGTAGTAATGTGAAAACCAATTTCATTGGTTTACCTTTCTTCAACCTCCCCTTCCCCACCCCCCCCCCCCCTCCCAACCTTCTCTACGGAACTCACTAATGTTAGGCCTAGGCCTAACCGACGGACTGTCATCGGATCAGGCCTAGACATACCTTTTTTCGTTCAAGCGAAACTCAATCCTCGGCCTACGGACCAATTAGGCCTATAAGGATTAATCCCTCGTCTTCGAGACACCTCATTGTGGACGTGTAACGTTAGGCCAATCGTAGGCCTATTCAGTCTCTCATGGCCCATTTAACAGAGAATGTGAAACGTTAGACCGAATGTAGGTCTTTTTCGAGTTTCATGAGCCATTTCAGTACGGTCGGGGAACATTAGGCCGTTCCAGAGTTCTCCGAATCATCTCGACTCGTTCCGAGAAGAAAGCGCCTTTAGAAAGCATGACACACTCGTGCAGCCATCATGTTAATTTAGGGATGTCCGGATGAGATCGTATTAAACAAAATTCATCGGCCACTGCAAACCACCGCTTCAATTTCAGCCCATCCCATGAATTCAGCACAATAAGTTAATGTCCCTATATTTAAAAGAGAAGATGCAGACAACGATACTAAGATCGAAGAAGTCATGAATCTGGGATAACTAAGGCACGATATCCGGCAACACTGGACGACGGGACTGGAGCCATCAAGCTGTCAAAATTAACGGCTTCTAATTTCATTTTTCATGGCGAAATGAGGAACTGGAAGCAACAAAAAGGACACTTTTTGTTACCTCCAGGGCAATATCTTTCGTTTGGTTGGTCTCTTTCCTCCAAAAACTTCCAAGGAGCAGCTACCCAGGGGGGGAGAAAGAAAAAATACCGGAACGACTTTCACATCTCTCAAAGCGAGATTCAGTGATCTCCACAATTACGGGGAGATGGAGCTTCAAATTTTCTGGGATGATTCTGTGTTGAAAGAGGAAGAAGTATGCCAAATTTCAATCACGTCGATGCTCTCAGAGAGGAATACGAGACGGTTGAATTTTGTCGCCGAAAGGAGTTGAATAAAGGTAATGGGCGCTACCGCGCCCATTGATTCCTTTGATGAACTGAAAACGCGCCTCGCGCAAACAGTTTCTGAAGTCACAACAGACATCCTCGCAGCGGCATAGCAGGAAATTGAATAACGGTTTCACATTTCCCGTGTGACGTGCGGCAGTCATATTGAAATCAGGTGGAGAGAAAAAAAATTCAAGCTCCACCTGTGTCATGTGTGAGGTTTCACGCCTGTGTTCTACCTGTCCAGGGTAATAAATGTTTCTAAATATAAGTACCTTTCGTCTTCACCTTGTACCATCTTATTTCAAGTCTAATGTACTCTATTTGGGGCCTTTTTCTATTATCCTCTGGGTTATTACTCACGTTTAACTTAATATGCTATTACAGCCAGCCAAACAGATGCAAACGGTCAGCGCTGGGACCTCGCCACAACGGACTATCCTGAGCAGAAAATTTATCTCGGCCTCGGTTTCCATAATTTGAATGTGATGGTGAAAGACACGTGGGGAGCATTCACCATTTTTCACATCGGCAACTTTACCGTGAGTGAACACGATGCATCCTTTTGTCCTCATTTGAATACTGTTCTTGATGTGAAAATGTCCTACTCACTCAAAAAAAATTAAATACCAGTGCCTGGGATTCCGCCACCCGCCCAAAAACTCAGTACAAAAGAGTTAATGACCAAGTATTGTAAGTTATAAGTGTCCTACGGCCTTCATAGTTAATGCTAATTAGGTCAGCCTATCTGCTTGTTCAAATCACCCTAATGAACTTCATTCTGATATAAGAACTCGTATAGCTTTAGAAGAGATAAACTCGAAATTCACCAGATACACAGCAAACATACGATGAAGTTATGCGCCATGGTCATTGCATGGTCATTAGACTAGTAACATTATGCCATTGTATGCCAAGGGAATAGGACGAACCCTGTAAGGCTGCCGTGTGGAGACTGTGACCGTGAAAGAGCGCTCTTCGTAGGTCGGACCTGCAGAATATTCCTGTGATCCCGTAAAACCGGGAAAAGCATTGTGTTGATAAGTGCACGAGTAAAAGCCTCTGCGATTATTCATTTCTCTATTCATGGAATGCACATGCCCGTGAAGGAACGAATTTCCCTGGAATTCAAAATCTCGCACATATTAGAAAGCAGAATTGATATTCTCTTTGCCTGTGTTTGGATCCTTCGTGCTTAACCTGTCAAGGTTCGTGTTAAGCAAAAACTACACACCTATTCGGACTGACTTTCCCGTTTATTTGCAGATGGAAATGCCAACAAAAGATGAATTTGATAAAAGTGAGCAATTGCTTCGTGAGTTGGATGGAGAAGGTGATGTTGATCAAGTGAACATGGTATTTCAAGCCCGAGCATCTGTCATGCAAGTAGCTCCATGGCTCAGCCTTAATTCTCAGGCATTGGCTAATCTTCCTGCAAACGAATCTGAGTCTCGTATATTGGCCGTGCAAAATGTGAGTTGTGATTGTGCATGATGGGATGCAATGTAATCAGGTTAATTATCGTGTCATGAAATACTAATATAAATAATTAATATGCTGTTTGTTACATTGTGTTCAGCTTTACACATCCATGTTGAAGACGATGGTCGAACAAGCGACTCCAATGACTTACGGACAAGTCCTGAACACCCTCAGCTTCCTTACCAGAGTTACAGCGGGAATCCAAATGAATGATGCCAGCGCATTATCTTTAGGGCTGGAAGGAAGACAAGCTGCAAAATCTATTTTTGACGTTAGTCCTTTTGATCTCATTGGCCCCAAGTGTTGTTTGCACTTTCACTACCTTTAATAACCAGGAAGTTTTTAAAGAGAGCCTCCTTCAATTTACAGGGTTAGTATTAAGTTTCTTCACACGTTTAGACAGTTATAATATTCAAACTATGCATCGTAAAGCCATAATATTTTGTGTGAGTTCTAATGGGACCATGGGGAAGGGAGAATTTGCCATATTAGCTCAATGTGACCCCCCTTCATGTCTACGATTGCTTGCATTCAGGATATGTAATGATAGATGGCTGACTGAAGCTGTCCAGTATCCAACATGGTCATATGGTTTGGTGTGGATTCACAAGCGACTTCATTATTGGGCCACATTTCTGTGAGGATCCAACAGACAGCGGATCTCAGCCTGCGAAAATTACCGGCAAACGTTATTGATCAATGCTGGAAAGTGTTGTCATCCCCACACTTCAGGACTGAGGTGTTTTTTGCAAGAAACAATCTTGATGGGAGATGGGGCTCCTCGCATTGACTGTAGAAGTGCTCTTGCAGACGTCCTTTGGTGACCATATAACCAGCTGCTTGACTCAGTGAACAGAAACTATCTCATCCAAAAGTTAGAATACCGTTTTAATATAAGAGGACAACTCCTCAAGCTGATTTGCAGCATCCTCAGCACAAATGAAGCTATCATGGACGATGGACTTAGAAAGATCCAGCAGTCACGATGGGTTACACATGGGGACTCACTGAGCCCTTTACTTTTCACCCTACTATCGTATGATTTACCAACCTGCATCAAAAGAGTTTGTTCATCCCTCAAGGTATTAATGTATGCAGACGATGTAGTTTCTTTACTCAACATCACATGCAGCTATCCAGAATGGCCTTCGGGCCCTTGAGTCAAAAACTACCTAGAAGTAAATACAACCAAAACCAAGATCATGAAGTTTCGCCGAGGAGGGAAACTAGCATGGGACGACCACTTCCAGTGCCTGGGACAAGTCTTGGAAATCACTAATTCCTACGAATACCTTGGAGTGATTTTTCAAACAACAGGCTGCTTCACCAAGCATATCAAGGCGAAGGTACAAAAATGTTCCCGTGTCACATACTCAATCAAGAATATCCAAAAACTCTCCCTCAGAGCAGCTTTGAAGCTCTTTGAGATAATCTCATATCCCAAATGAAATTTTAACATCTCCCCGCGATGACTCAACACCGATGGAAGGAATGTAATCCTGGAAACAGACACCTTGTCACCCGGATATCTATACATGGATTTCATTTCAAAATCTGAAAGAGAAAGGATTTCCATTCACCAAATGAAGACTCTACATGTTCTCTGTGCGGAGAATGTGCTTCTTACCTCTACCGCCTGCTACAAAGCCCTGGATATACAAAATCCCTCGCAGTATGGGACAAGAAAGAATAAAAATAACAAAGATACCTCTTTAGCGTTATGATCTGAGTGTCTCAGTTAATTTATTCAAGATGACTGATGCTGGATATCTTATTTGTTGCTTCCTCTTTGTATCTTTGTCACTGTTTATCTGTTATGTGATTCTTTTCACCATCAACTAAGTGCATTATTCATTTTTCGAACACGTGGCCGACCCGTTCGCCGACCTCACCCCAGCAGACTTTTGCCTTTGGGGATATACCACGTATCCAGACTTGTGTGTCGTGAGGGACCTGCCACCTTAACGATCCTGAAATATGCTATTCGCCATCATGTGGCCATGTTGGATGCTGAACAGCTTCGGTCAGCCGTCTATCATTGCATATCCCGAATGTAAATAATCGTAGACATGAAGGGAGGTCACATTGAGCTAATGTAGAAAATGTAGCTAGTGAGCGAAAGCTGGTGGTCATATACGATGACCCTATATTCCTCTTCCCCGTGGTCCCATTAGTACTCATACGAAGTATTACAGTTTCATGATGCATAGGTTGCATATTATAACTGTCTGAACATGTCTGAATGAAATAGGGAAAAGCTACACCAAGGACCAGTAATAGAATAGGACTGGACTCTCGGAAGCTGTACACTTGCACTCTGCGTATCAACACGGATGGCGATGTGCAGGCAGCGCTCCAAGCGGCTGCTGAGGAAAAACACGACATTGCCCCATTGTAATGCATGTACTCCATCGGTCTCCGACCGTTACTCACTCAGTTTTTGCGCGTGCATCTTATCGGGAAGATGAACAACACCATGAAACCAAAGAGTGATGTTGTTGCCAATGAAAATACTTCTTCCTTAATATTATCAGACAGGGGGAAGAGGAAGGGGCTGAGAAGCAGCATGCCTCAGCTGACAGAGCTTTGAGCGTTGGATGCGAGGTGCTTTATGTATCGGACGTACGGTTTTCTGTGCGAACGGGAATGAAAATTAGTTGTAAGACGCAAACTTAAAGTTGTCCAACTTATCTCGGCTTGGTTGATTTTGTGTTAGTGTTTTATGGAGGAAATGTTCATTTTCTGTTTCAGAATATAACCAGTTGTCATGAGTTATTCTCCGAATGTTCATAATGAAAGCTGAGAGTTTATTTTCATAATATATACTGGCAGATGGATTAAGAGCGCCCTTGGACGTTTTTCAGGGTGAAGGAGCACATCCCTGAGGCGCAAACATGGACTCATACATAACTTACTTAATCTTCAATATTAACCTATGTTGGGGTCCTGTAAATCTGAAGAAGTGTTTCCCCCCGAGTTTCCAACGAAATTACTACAATTAGTAGCAGAACACCAGCGTCCACCATGCTTCGCCATGGGACACGGCGGCAGTTTTCCTCAGCGACCACCAGGTTCGCCGCCTGCACTGGGTGGATGACTGCTAATACGTGATTTCCAGAGGAGTGTCCAGTCCTCTTCTATCACTGGTCCTTGACTACACTTTCCAGCAGAAACAGAGATGGTGGTTCCCTTGTTCTCCTTTCCTCGGAATCTGTGTGGGAAATCCTCACATCAATTGTTAAGCTGCTGGAATATGAAGTGCAGTTTCAAAGTACACCATGTATTCCCCATAAGCACATGTAAGAGATACTTCGTACAATGAATGTATTCAAGTATTCAGAGGTGTTCTATGTTTATTCCAGAGTATAACAAAGAATCTGGACGGAATTGAGTTCTCAACCCAAGAAATGGGACTTCCAATCATGGCAAGCCTTCTCATAGCTGGCCCAAAACTGATGGGGGTAACCGTGCCGTTTCTCAAAAGAGGCTGAAAAACTTTCAGATTAAGTCAAATTTCGTCTGCTGATAACTTGCAGGGAGTTCTGGGACAATTGGAGAGTGGAAACTGCGAAGTTGAGGCGAACGTGGACAAGTCCTTTTGCTCTCCCATAGACAAGGAACAAAGTTCCCTGGACTACGTCTTTCCGCCACCCAGTAAGGAGTCTTTGGATAACTTTCCCTGTCCATTTCATCATTGCTTATTCTCTACTCATGATCCTCTGGTAAAAAGATGGACCTTATTGCAACCCCGTGTACAATGGAAAGAATGGCGAGACAAACCGGCCAAAATGGTAGAAAAATGAACGGTAGTTTTTGCTTATGCCAATTTTTCAATTAATCTTAATCATTGGTTAATTATTCATTTATTTTCTGCTGTGCATGACCAAATCGATTTAGGACATTCTAACGGATGGCTCAAAAAAGCTATCAACTTTACATGCTTGCAGACGGAAAAGCACACAACTTTTCAGCAAGGTAGAATAGGTGATACAAATTCTGACCCTGCTATAAAGTCCGCCCCCAAGCAACATATTTGAACTTAATAAGAACAAGCAGCCTATTAAAACCATATTGCACCAAAGTTTGATCTCTAAACGTGAATGGGCAATGTATGCATTTTCCTATCGATTGGCATAGATCTTAAAAATATTAATTTCAAGTCGTGGGTGAGGGGGCGGATTTTGAGCTTTAGGGGGTCGGAATTTGTATCATCTATCCTACATATGGGATGTCGCATTTAACACGCGTAGGCTATTTTTCGGATTTGTATGTATTTGATCCCTAAGAATCCCTGCGGAAGCTTGTTAACTCGAATTCTGATTAGACGAAATTCCGGATTCCGGATTCCCGATTACGATTTTCTCATGGTTAACTCGAAGTTAACTCGAAATTGGGAGGTGAATTGGTAAAAAAAAATTATGGGACACCTCGATTTTTTTCATATGGTGAAAGGGATGCTTCAGTGACTGAACCAGTCACTGAGGCATTCCTCATTGCTGACATCAAAGATCGCTCACATGAGAGTGAACCCGGAAATGAGAATGATGGCGGAGGCGACACATACTGTAACTAGTCGAAAGCCCGTGTACACACGGGGTGTTTAGATGGTGAACATCGATATTTTTCACTAGATGACGATCATTGGAAGAATATTTCTCATTAAAAAAGAATCATGGTTTAACGGACTTGGGAACTGCCGCCAAGGCCCAGCCCATGTCCAATGTTTTCTTCACCGTTGATCATATTCGGGATCTGTCTCATTTGCTCAGAGTACGCTGGAACGTTTGACCTCGGTACTTGAGAGGGATCGACTTTTAAGACTCCCACATGCGATTCGCTTTCTCTTGCAATCAACGAGAGCATTTTTCAGCTGTTCCTCAGCCGACTTTTTTGGCATGATAAGGAGATTATTTTCGTCAGAAAAACCCTGAAATTTTAAATTAATGAATGTGTCTGTAAAGGCCCAGAGGGACAGAACTAAGACGCACTCAGGCAGACATGAACATGCAAAACATACACTCAATTTCAGTCGCAACTATATCGGATGTGACGATATTCTATCGTTGGAAAGCGTACTCGTTCGGCACAGCAACGTCGGGTGAACGTTGCGCAAGGGATGATTTTCAACATAGCAATAATGCCAAAACGGTGTGGAAAAGGTGGATTCAATGTTGCCGCAATGCTGAAACTACAAAGTACCAGCCCAGGTACAGATCTGGCATTCCACTACCCCCTATGCCACTGGAAGTATTTTATACAGAGTGACAATAAAGTCCTTGGAACAACTTTTATTGCCATCTACCACCCAAAATGTTTCGCCCAAAAATGAAACATAAAACATAGATAGAGATAGATGTAATGAATAAATGATACTAATTGTTTTCAATGTGGCCCCCTTTAGCTGTCACTACTGCCCTGAGCCGTTTGCGGAAGCTTTCGGCTAAGTTTCGGAGGTGTTGGGGAGGGGAGGGGGGGGGGGGATTTCATCCCATGCCTTGACCAAAGCTTTCTTTAAGCCAGCAACTGTCCTATGGGGCTTAGAGCAGGCCTTCGCCTCTAACATCCTCCAGATGGCGAAGTCCATGGGGTTCAAGTTTGGGCTGCTGGAGGGCCACTCGTCACGCGACGAAAATTCGTTTTGCACCACGCGACAGTTGCTTGGGTCTTGGATCCTATATCAATATGTTTTTTCGGTATAAAAAAGAATTCTAAAAGAAGAGATCGAGGGCTTTCGAATGATATATAACACAGGAATTTGGGTCCAAAATTAATAGGAAAAGTCATCCGTTTGGGGTTAAAGGTCAATTCAGAAAAAAAATCTGAAATGAGTTTGCACATCTGCGAAAACAAGTGAGCTATCGTGGAGGAGTTCACCGGACAAATTTCGGTCATACAGACATCTGCAAGTCATTATGTACGTACGAGTTAGTTATTCCATTTTAACAATGTCAATGAAGCACTGTCGGTTGTGAGTAAATCCTTCTCAAACGAAGGGAAGTGCCAGTCGACTTGTTTGAGGCAATGGGCAAATTGAAAGACTTCCACTTCTCTGTTGCAAATTCCTTATGAAAACAAATGAAGATCACTGAATTCATGCCAGATAAAGCTAAATCGAAAATAATACCAGATGAAGAGCGTTATGTTGAGTGAATTTTGCATATAGAATATCAACGTTTCCTGACAGATAAATAAAATCTAAGGAAAGGTCATCGCTTCTAGAAATCACTGGAGAAACCATGGGGGATGATTCTGCAACTTTTTTCTTATTGAACTGTGACACGAAAGCTTTCATGGTGATCAATTAGACTTCTTTGTTGTTCTCAGTAAACAAAATCAATAGTAAATCAGAACCCTGTATAGATAACTTAATCATGAAGTGGAACTTGGAACACTCAGATCCTTTTACAACTACCATTCCTTCTTCAACATGAAAACTGTTTCAACTCAAGATCTTACTGCATTCATCTTACTTCCATAACAATAATCTAGGTCAAGGCCTGCATATCTTTTTTACATTGCTCATAGGAAATATGATAGTCTAGTTCATATGGAGCAAACAATGCTGTTTCTTCTTAGCAACTGATTATAACAGAACTACAAAACATTGACTGGTGGAATCCCTCCTCTACCCCTCATCTGATTGGGTCTTCTAAACAAACTTAGAGAATAAAGTAAGCCTAATACATTTCATTCAATTAGGTCTATACCCACAAACTATAGTGAAAACGACCTCGTGGGATCCAATTATGATGGAGGAAATGACAAGGCCTATCCACGAGATAATTTAATCTCAGATTAAGTTTTACTCTGCACACAAACCAGTAACACTAATTGTGTTTCTCATTATTTTCCCCAACTGTCTGTAATGCTTTTTTTTTTAGATATTCATGAAATATCAACTCCCTCCCTCCTGACCTTCCTTGGAATGAAGTAAAATAGGGCACGTTTTTTCTCAGCCACTAGCAGCTGCTGGCGAAAAAGACGAGTTGGGTAGGCACGACCACGTCATCGAATGGCGTCTCTATTGGGCAAGCAGCTGCGAGCGGAACCTAGCGAACTATGAGAACGCTGAGCAACTAAACCTTGAAATGACGTAATCGGATGCCTGGGGGTCTCAGCAGAAGTAGCTGAGCCGCTAGCAAAAAAGATACCCTCGTTGTGAAAAGCTTACTTTCATTCTCAGTCTTCAATACAATTATAGATAAGTCCAGTAAGTCCTTGGTGATACGGGCCAGATGGATGTACAGGTACGTTTTTTTTTAATGGGGATGGGTTTATAGAATGAGTTAACGAGTTTCCACGGTAGCAGTTTTATTTACCCTCGTTTTAGAGCGCAAATCATGATTACTTGTTTCGTGCAAGATAGAACACTAGAGTTCTAAACGACCAATTTCACCCAGTTTTCGTGATCACAAGTTGAATAAATCCCCATAATTTATTCTGTCAATATCTCGCACGGTGCTTTAACAGAAGTCATACGAAGTCGAAACCTTTCTTGGGCCACTTGTTTTCAGGTCCAACATATACAGTATATACGAGATAAGTATAAGTGAAATTGATAACTCAGTAGCTGAATGACAGCTTTATTCCGGCACGGTGTCAGTACGTTTACATACTTTTGTCGACTCAGCTGAATTGGCTTAGGTCAAGTCATTAGTGCACAGAACAAGCATCCAGATTTTGCACACCAAAACATATATTATTTTGACATTGGTCGCAAAATGCTGCTTCTCTCGTTCCGAAAGATCAATTACATCGAATTGTTATTCAAATCACCTACACATGTTGGACCAGTAAGTTTCGTGTCTTTGCTTAAATTGGTGTCTTACATACAGGTGTGCAAATTTTGGAAATTTGAATGCCACCCGGTATATTAACGCGTTCAGATCGGCGCAGTGCACCAGTATCCCCCGGCGTCTTTTCCCATGGGTCGGCGGGGTACACTGGTGGCGCGCTGCTCGCTTTGACTCCTGAGTAGCAGAAAAAACCGCTCGCTTAATTTATTAATGTAGTTCTATTACAGCCACTCACAGGGAAGGCAAGTAGGCGGCACTCCCGAAAACGGAGACGTTCATAGACACGCAGGCAGACACGCAATGTGCACAATGTCTGTACCGCATGCCATTTGGCAGCCCACCGGCTGTACTCTCCCGCCATAAAGTAAAGGTGCATTACGTATGGCGACGGGGGCCACCCGTAGTACGCGCTTGTTTTCTTACATATGTTTATTCAGAATTATTTATAAGAACTCGACTACTTTAAATGTTAGGGTAGTTATATACAGTAACGCTGGAATATACGACACGAAATGAATGTTCTCGCCAGTCAAGGCCGTCACACAATACTGTACATGCTTTTCACCATCGACTTGAACGTGTTAAAAGAAAGCATATTGCATTTTGCTGTTCTATTTCCTAGATAAACTGTGGGCCCAGAGTGAAGACATGGAATCGCAGCGTTGTTGCTACATTTTGGATAGAGCTCGACAGGAGAGCTCTGGGCTCGGTGACTCTATCGCTTCCATCATTGATAAAGTGGCTTCAAAAATGCTGGAGGCCATGGTCATTGGAGAGACCGTCAACATGGAAGCTATTAACGAGGTTTATCTGAAATTGATGAAGTGAGCTATCAAAATGCCCCGTGTTCTTCGATGAATTAGATCTATTGATACTCTGCCTCACTAAATAACTTCCGATGCTCGCAGGGTGTATGGTGATGCACTCTACAACGGTTCCAAAATATTTGGTTCTGGATCTTCCCTTTTGTTTCGAGACTGCCCAGTAGACAACTGTGATCGAGTCTTTGGCTTGGTCATGCTGGAAACACCACACAACATGCGGGTGAGTCATTCTTTTTAAACTAAGAAATGTACTTCTGCACCATGAACGCAGGAAATGCAACTGGGTTGATATTGGTCATTGAGAATCTTCTGAGAGAGTAGCTCGAGTTCATTGTTTGATTGGTTGCCATCACGTTCCAGCTTCACGGATATTAGTCCATTAATTTTTTTTTTCAGATCAGAGATCAGGAGGGTATTAACTTCCTAAGGCGTTCTCGGTTGAGCAATACGGGTGTGATATGTTCGTCCTTGGAAATGAAAAAGATCTTCAACCTTGAGCTTGGCCGATCTCTTGGCCCAGTGCTTCTCAACCTTTTTATTCCCAACCATTGTCGCGGCACACTGGTCGCGAAGCACTGTCTTAGCCTGAAAGCCATATTTATGTATGACATATGGTATCATGTCAGAACATCGACGCCAAAGCATCGAAACAACAGATCACCGACAAAAGAAAACATCGATGTGCCAAAACATCGACGAAATGAAGCGTCGACATGCCAATTTATTTTCCTCTGATTTTTCTTTGAGATTGCTAATATTACATAACTTTCGAAGGGCCTTACTGCGATCGTCTATCAATCCAGGATGACTGATGGAAGACAGCTTGAGGATGGCATCGTGGCTTCAGCAAGCATCTTGGGGCTATTAATCCGCCTATAATGTACAGTATATTTGTTCGGTTGCAGTTTGTTTCTCATCAAAGATGGTTGAAATAAAAAACCAAGCATGTGCGCAGATTTCGTACTACATCGAAAATATATGGTACAGCTGAGATTTTGTAATGCAAAGAAAAATGTTAAATCTTTCAATGAAAGTACCTAATTTTTTTACATGTTATTGATGCATACACATTAAATTAAAATGTATTCAAACCACGTCAAGAGAGGTGAATAGAAAAGAATAAAGAATTAGAAAAAGGAATCACATTTTGTAAACGATGAGAACAGAGGAACATATTGAAAAGAGGAGCCTGTCATTGCACGGTACACTATTGCGAATCAGTATTACACCTGGAGATTGAAATTATGTACAATCCCTTCTAAATACTCTTTCAATGGTCGCTGCTCGTAATCCAAAATAATAGAGTTTTTTCGGAGAGATAATTGACGATCAAGAATGTGCCTCCGAGGGGTGTCTTGCCATGCGATATACTGTACCATCCTAAGTTCATTCAGGCTCTGTTCATTCTTGAGACAATCAATAAACTTCCATATAGGAGGATAATTAGCCGAAAGATGCTTGCTGAAGCCACGATGCCATCCTCAAGCTGTCTTCCATCAGTCATCCTGGATTGATAGACGATCACCATAAGGCCCTTCGAAAATTATTTAATGTTAGCAATCTCAAAGGAAAAATCAGAGGAAAATAAATTGGCACGTCGACGCTTCATTTCGTCGATGTTTTGGCACATCGATGTTTTCTTTTGTCGGTGATCTGTTGTTTCGATGTTTTGGCGTCGATGTTCTGACATGATACCATATGTCATACATAAATATGGTTTTCAGCTAAGAGGAATTTAAATGATTCAGCTACTTGTATTATTTAGTGTTTTAAAAATGACTGCATCTTTAAAAAATTCCACTTTCCTAAAATAGATAATTAAAAGTCCCTTCGTGGACAGAGCGAACATGAATCGAGCCTAAATTTCATCTCTGACTGTGGTACTCCTCATATCTCCCGAGTTCTATTCACTCTTTTCTCTTTCTTACTCGCACAGGTTATTCTCACTTGTTTCGTAAAACCGATTGCATAATGAAGTATGGCTGGTTTCTTTCATAACTAGTTATATGGCTTAGGTAAATTTCAAATCATATTGGCTCTACATAAAGCGGAACTCCTGTTTTGCTTAAAGACAGTCTAATGTACTCCAGAAGTACATATACAAAAACTGTCACTACTATATTAATTTATACTCTCCGAAATGCAGAATGGGCAGGGGAGCAATGCGGATCAAATCAAGGGGACAAAAGTTGCTACAGTGGACTTGAAAGAGGAAGAAGGCAAGACTCTCCCGGTCCAGAACCTCACAACTCCTCTCAACTTGAAAATCCCTATGACAAATCAGACCGGAATTCTCAATTCCAGTAGGTGCTAAAATACCATGTCTTAAGGAGTTCCAACGAATCTCACGCCACAGCGTACCACTGTATAATATATACTTCTTTCAGACTGCACCCAAGTGAATCCAGTGCATGAGCTATCGGGACGAAGAATTCCGATCGTTTACCACATGTTTTCTAAGCCAAAGAATCATGGATTGGTAATGCTGAAATTTACGCTGAATCCCGGAGATGTCGCCAACACCAACTTCCTGATACTTCTCCGATCTGATGGTCTGCCTTCTCCTATCAAGGGAGAATTCGACGATTCTCCAAACTGCACTTCCGCCTTTCAATTGAACAAACTCATGCCCACAGGTCAGTTTTTTTTCTGCTCATGGAATCTGGTTTCTTATTCTTTGAAATGATACCTCTGTTGTTTTTTTTATGAATGGGTACATATGGGCTTACAGGCTCCCAAGGGGAATACACATTCTCAGCCTGTGCAACACCACAAGACGAGAGCGACAATGTCGATCTCAAGACAGATAAGCTGTCTGTTGGCGTCATGATGCTTAAAGTCGGCGTCGACTTCACAAACATGCTTAGCGACGCCACTTTTGACAACATGATTCCAAAGTACCTGGTAAACTTCACTACTCCCTACTGCCTGCAGAGTATAAATATTGCCATGCTTTTCTATGACGAGCAGAAGAAGCAGTACGACGACGCTGGAATCCAGGTATGTGTCTGCCTGTATTGCATTTGCAAAAATAACGAGTTCTAAAAGTATTAATAATTGAATTTAAAATTATCATAGCTGACCAGCGTAGATTCGCGAGCGATGTCGGCCGATGTGACACACTTGACGACCTTTGGAGGTGGATTCTTTGTCATGCCTAATGCTGTGGATTTCACATATGTGTTTTCACATGCTGGCTTTGACGATAACATCACCATCTACCTATTGCTTATTATCACTGGTGTCATTTACCTGACCCTTCTCATTTGGGCTCGTTGGCAGGATGGTCTAGATGTTGCACTGGTGAGTCCCTTTTCTCAGATATTAATTTTTTACAGTATTTTAGACTAATGAACTAGGGGGCTGTATAAGCTTTCCGTACACTCTTGAACATGTCACCTTTGAGTCATCATTACTATACGTTAAAAAACCACAAATTTTCTACCCTTTAAATCAAAGCTACTTCCAACGTAACAGAGTAAAGGTAATCCTCAAGTAATGTCTTGGAAAATTTATCCTTGCTGCCTTTGTCACATTTAGAAATTTCAAATCATCCCTAAACGTTATGGCAGTTCAAGTAACACCGGATCATTTATTTAATTGCCCCTGAACGTCGCGTGGAATTAAAGCCTTGTAAGCTTCCGTCGTTAAAGACGAAAGTGTTCCCATCTCTAAGTAAAAACATTAAACAAATATAGAACTCTTCCCAACACCACTGTCAAGTATCCGTTACTTCCTGTTCCGTATCTATCATATACCATATGTCAGAGTTTTTGTCTGTCCCTTATGCACGGCCATGCCTCTGTTCCCTGTCCAACCAAACTTTGCATGACTTCCTCATTTGGTCCTGAAATGGTCATCGGCTAAGTGACGTTTCAAAATTCGGATCCCCCAGGGCAGAGCAGGTCGCCGAATCGCCGGTCGCCTGAGTCGAAAATGGTCTTGTTGCACAGTTGCGCGCAACAAATTTCAAACTTTCCCATAAAGAGGAATCAAGTTGGAATGAAGCCGAAGAGCTGGAGATCTACTTCATGGGCTCACGTCGACAGATCCACTTTCGAGTAAATCTCTCCTTGAGGCTTTTTGAAAGGTTTACTAGATATCCAGAAGACAAAACATTCACGTTGCTATTGTCATATTGTCCCGTGACTTCGTATTAATCCCATAAATACGTATATATACAGTAAAACCGGCCTTTGCTTATATGCTTCTGGCCAAACCCTGCTATAAGGTACTGGAGGTTATAAGCTACAGGAGGTTATCGTGTAATTATTGTTTATTCGTGTGTAGCTCATATACACTCAATGTCCACAAAATTAGAGATACTCCTACATTCAACTTTCCATGTAGCTACAGCATAACCTAACCTAGGTTAGGTAGGTTAGGTTGTGACCTAAAGCAGGCAGCCCTGCTTTAGTGTGTGTTTTGACTGCAGAATCGGCAAATCAACAGACCTCAGCGACTTTGAACGTGGAACGGTCGTTGGTGCCAGACTAGCTGGTTTGAGTATCGCGGAAACCGTCAAACTGCTAGGCTTTTCACGTGCTACAGTTTCCCGGGTATACCGTGAATGGTGTGATAAGCGAAAAACAACGGCTGCAAGGGCATCCTGTGGACGGCAGAGCCTCGTTGATGCTCGAGGTCAGAGAAGGCTGTCACGTATCGTTTTGCCCGACAGGCGGGCTACAGTACGCCAAATCATGGCAAAATTCAACGCTGGTGTCCCAAAAAGCATATCCGTGCACACAATCCATCACACCTTACTACAACAGCATGGGGATGGGCTACAACAGCAGAAGACCAGTTCGGGTGCCAATGTTGTCGGACAAAAACAGGAAAGCGAGACTTCTCTGGGCAAAATAGCATCGTCACTGGACCATTGCTGAGTGGAAAAAAGTTGTGTGGTCAGATGAATCCCGGTTCCAGTTGCATTTCGCCGATGGGAGGATGCAAATCTGGCGCAGGAAACATGAATCCATGGACCCCTCCTGTTTGGTGTCAACATTACAGGCTGGTGGCAGCTCTGTGATGGTGTGGAGTGTGTTCTGTTGGCAAACCCTAGGTCCCCTCATACCCCTGGAAGGTCGTCAGGACAGTATGGCATACCTGAACATCGTTGCTGATCGGGTTCATCCCTTTATGATCACCGTTTTCCCTTTAGCAGAAGGATACTTTTGGCAGGACAATGCACCATGCCACAAGGGCTGTATCGTCATGGATTGGTTCGAGGAACATGCCCAGGAGTTTACCTTGCTCCAGTGGCCAGCACAGTCCCCCGATCTCAATCCAATAGAACATCTTTGGGATGAGGTGGAACGGGCTGTGCGGGGCTTGCCTGCACTGCCATCAAACAAGCTGCAACTGAGTGACGCTGCGCTAGCAGCATGGGCTGGGATACCTGCATAACGTTTCCAGCACCTCGTGGAATCCATGCCACAACGAATTGATGCTGTTTTGAGTGCCAAAGGTGGTCCAACATGCTACTAGTGAGGTATCTCTAATTTTGTGGACATTGAGTGTATAAGACTGTAAGGAAAAATGGACAACATGGCTGCCACATCTGTTAATAAGCCTAATGGAGTTAGCATTCTTTGAAAGGGGGTAGAGTGGACTGGATGGGGAAAATACAAATTAGCCTCATAGTTTCACTGATGTTACCTAATGCCCTTACTAATACTTGCTGGGATTTGACAATTCAAAAAATATGGCTGCACCTCAACATGTAACAGGTAGATTCAGGCCAGAAAGGAAAGAAAATCTTGTGAGAGAGAGGCAAATAAGATGATCTGATTGCAAAAGGGCATTCCACATAACTGACAATGATGGAGGAGAGAGAGGACTCATACAAACCCTCCTTCTGGTCTCAACTCCTGCTCCAGAAGCCAAGGACCACATTCACTGAGCCATGGGACTCCTCCACTGATTCCTAATGGGCACAGGGAGAAAACGTTTTTAATTGAACTTGTCATCAGGGATCATTAATGAAGAACTGGGGAAGGAAGCAGGAGAAATGCATGTTTTCATGCCCCTTTAAGCAAGCCTATTTATTTCTGAAGGACTGAAATATATTCTTGATTGCTCATGTTTCCTAAATAAATTGAATATATGCTTCAAATTAAAAGTTTTAAAGGTTTTATGACATACAGTGCTTATCAAATGAATTCACCCCCCTCTTACTATGGGCTCCTACGACTCGCCATGCTTTTCTATGACGCATCTGAGGATGCTGTAACTGCTAATAACAACTAATCAAGGTGGATGTCGCCCACGTCGCTATGTCCTGCATTCTAAGCGGTTGGGGAAAGTGTATTCATCCATTCTGAGTTTTCCATTTAAGTCTCGCTTAGTCTTCCAACGAAATAAATCGTATTAATTTATGAAAGACTCTTTTAGGGAGATAATGACATGCCCCTAACTTCTTTCTCTCATTCAATTTGATCACATTAATGATACCCATTGAATAACGAAGGATTTCATAATCATTATTTAGAATCAGAGGAGGGAAAATACAACTGTGCTCTGAGTACTGTGTCCAATAAAAAGCATTTTCAACTTTTCTCCTCATTTACATTCTATCCTCAAATTTCTTGCATTTCTACATTTTACCAATTTTATTAATTAACTTAGACATCAACTGGATTCTAGCCCATTTCTTCTTATTTGTTAAAAGTACATCGGACGTAGATCACCTGCCATATGAGGTTTCCTAGAAGGGAAAGGGAAAGGAAAGCTTCCGTGAAAACCAAGGCTAGGGAGAAGGATTCAGAAAGTTAACAATTAAAATTTCGCATAACTCATCTTCGGATTTCCGGAATATTGAGAAATGTGACTTTTTTCCAGGTGTGTCCTTTCATGTATGATACAATTATAAGGTAAAAATAAAAATGCTTCAGAATTATATATATGACCGATTTCGTGATTGTGTCGATGACAAGGTGACTAAATCGTTTTTACTTAGGTGCTCTGACATTCCTCAAGGTTCACTTCACTCAAACTTTTTAAAGGAGTGTTGGTTCCTGCTCGTTCTGATCAGCTGTATTATGTCAAGTTTGTGAAGCTCCTTCAAGGTATCATTTTGGTCTATGGTAGGTGGGTACCTTGCTGGGATCGCAAATGTGGATAGTTTAGCTGTTTATGGGATGAAAAACAGATGTCACTCTATTCTCACAGCCAGCAGCACCACCACCCACTGCAGGGGGGGTGAATTCATTCTATAAGCACTGTAGTTTTCCAATAAAGGCTTATGGAACTCTCACCTAACAGATGTATCAAACTCATGCACTCTGTGAACAACACAATTGCATGAGATGCAGTGACAGGAAGATTGAAGGAGGAATTAAAAAGGAAAAGAAAGAAACAATTACATAGAATGCGATAAGTAAGGCCAGAGCAGCCTGAGCTCCAACAATAACAGCTTCCAAGATCCTCCCTACACTCAGTGGTCGAGGGATGGGATGCTATGCCTCTGCTTCCTTCACTGCCTCTACTAGCTCCTCCAGTTCCTTGGTTCAGAAAATAAAAGAAACAATAATAATCCTGTAAATCTACACCCAGCTCAAATTTCTTCTTATTTCACGAAGACTTGGCAAGAAGGAATATCTATGGTAATTGGTAATTTCTATTGAAGGTTTTTTTTGCAACAAGGACATAGCTAATAAGACTTGACTTTTGCAATTCTATTCAGCACTGTAGTGAATGAGTCTCCTCAGTTTCAAGCAAACTTATAGCCACTTGTGTCTGAAAATGAACTATACTTCCTTAATTCCCTAAACAACAGCAACATAATGATGAAAATCTCTCAGACAGACCTCAGACTGAAAGCAATAACTCCATGTATAGAGACATGCCCCAGGTAGATGAAAATGCTCATGGGCACGATTCGAGGCCAAGGTCTAAATGAGAGTGGGACTTGTGTTGAGCTTCCATGCTACTCTCATTTGACCAAAGAAGGTTCCCAGGCAACATATGGTTTCCAAGCTACGATGGTAATAATGACCTTGGAATATGTCTTGAAGAGATGAGAAGTCAGCATCTTCAGAGAAAAATAATAGAATCATAAATTCACTTAAGGGTCCTTGTCAAGATGAAGTCCTGCAGGTGCATCATGGTTGCAATGGTAGTCCTAATTGTAAGATATTCAGGTACCTTATTATACCTTATACCCCATTGCCCACATTCCTTGTCCCTACACATGCAATTCTGCATTACACATTCCATGCAGGAATTTGCCCAGTGGATTCAGGGAAATCTACTTAAAGCTAAGAACATGAACTAAGAACATGAATCAATGCAGGACAGAACCCATTATTTCAAACTATTCATTAGATAGCTTACGGTTTGGATTTTCAATTGCACAGGAGAGTCTTACTTCTGCATTTAACATTGATTCTGACAAATATACTAATGAAATACATTATGATTTTCATATGCAAACAGTCCATGACAGCACATCCAGAAGACCTATAACATGGAAGTACATCATAGCAAGTCACAAGATTGCATGTATATCATATGGAGGAAGAATCAAAAATGCCTCAGAAAGGGTGTTCAAGTATCCTTAGCAGATGCAGAGGCAACAGAGGCCAGGAAGAGTGACCCCTCTCCACATCTCACTTGGTTCCTCCAAACCCAAGGAGGCTGCAAGCCAGCAGCAGGCACAGTCCACCCAGTCCACATCCTGCAAATAATCAATCTCTCTGTGCTCAGTCAGATCAAATGCCTACTTCTGGTTCCCAACTGGAACAGCTAGGTGCAGTTAAGGTATTAGTTCAAATAATCCAACACTAATAATGTGGAAAATGTTATGTCATCTAAGGCACTCATTAGTCTTTCTTTACTCCTCTGTACTCACTTGAGTCCAGAAGGAAGAAATAAAGAAACATGCAAAAAAAACCCATGTTCTAAGCTTCATTTGGCTAAAAATATTGAGAGACAAGAAAAATGACTCTCCAAGAGACTGCAGGCATGGGTCTTCACAGCAGAAACCTCTCCACATCAGGCAGGTGGGTAGCTGTTGGTGGTATGAAGGCAAACTCATCATATGATCCTAAAAATAAGGACAGTGCCCACTCCAGACTGCTATATAAATTTTGTGACTAATTCATAAAATGCTATGTGGATGATAAAGTTAGAACAAAAACAGGTAGAGACAAAGAACAAGCAGGTTGAATGTGATGCCAAATGTTGATGGTCATACAAAACTGATAGGGTTGATTGTAGTGACAATCCAAATGGTATAGTCCTAGATAAAGCTATAGAGGGATATAGCTTTTTGTACAGAAAAGAATCTACTCTCCTGAATGATGGCTTTGTATTGCATAACTGGCAAAGGAATTTTAAAAATGACCTTTGATCTCCTGAGCCTCTGGGGGGAAGCAATTTGTCCTTGAGTTTGCCCAGAACAATGTCTCAGAAGTAGGACTATTGTGCATCATGAGTGTTTTAGATTTTGTTTTCATGATTTACAAGTATGTGAACCAATAGATCGGCAGAGTCCTTTTGCCTTGCTCAAAGGACTGATAAAATTTTTCCTGCAATCCTACTTCTGCAGCTAAGCCTCACTGACTCTTTTTTGCATCATGCAAACATTCCTTCAACTTTGCCTTTTGCTTATAATCATGGTCAAAGTTGTGAGGATGGAAAGTAACTTCCAGACACACCCTGAGTAAAACAGGCATGACAGAGACACATGTTGATCATGCCTCTATGTAGGTTGAAGGGACTCAATGCACATGCAGCCTTTGTTCCACCCAAAGATTCTCATCACCTACTAGGAATGCTACCATGAGTAAATTGTCATCTAGTCCTCGTGTCATCAGTTATAACTCCATCTGGCCAAAACAATATGATTGCAATATACACATATCAAATTCTTCAGCAAAAAAATGAAAAAAAATACACTGCTACACTTAAAGCTATGCTTCCAAACAAATACAGACTCCTTAAGGATCTCATCAAAGAGAATGGGGCATGTTTCATCAGATCTGGTGGAACAGACCAGGAGATTCAGTCCTTCCAGAAGGGAGCCAGGCAGGACCTCTCACTCAAATTTTTGGTGATAGTTACAGGGTACAACTTATAAACAATAATCTGAGGGCAGGGGAGTCTAGTTCTCTTCATGTGTAGTGGCCCTACCTTATTGAGACAGCAGCAAATTGCAACTGATCTGATGCTGGCTTCTAAGCTGATTACCTGATCTGAAAAAGGTAAGTACTTGTGGTGGAAAGACCTAAAATCAGGCTGCAAGATCAGTAAGCACAGGATTCTTGAGGTCAATGTCAGCAAAAAAGAAGGCAGGATCCAGGATGAGGGTCATGCCAACCATCAAGAATCACAGCAAAAAGGTCTGACAGATTTCCAGGGATTCACTGGGATGCCAAATCCTGCTAGCTAGAGGCTTTCACGCAGGGCATTGAAAGAACCTCATAGGTAAAATACCATCAGATGAAAATCCTCCTGTGAAATGGGAAACCCTAAAATGAATTGAGAATGCACTCAAATGATAAAATAGATTTACAAACCCCTAGAAATGCAGCACTTCAACTTTAACCATGTGAGACTCAGTGTCCTGACCATTGGACATGGAGTCATTTCTTCTGAGTTAGGAATATCAAACACAGATGAAAGGGAAAGTGTTTTTTCTTCACTTTAATCAAAAATGTTACATTTAAAACTGAAATAAGAGTTGTTAAAATGAAATACAAGAAATCTGTGAGAATGCTACTGACACCTGCTGAAAATCCATGAAAACTTTTCAAATATATTAGACCATTCAAACAGGAAACAAGTTGCTACTCTTAGTTGTACTTTCTAACTAATAACTGTAACCCATCCAGTTGTTGAAAGCTAAGCAATGAGTAAAAATGTACTTAATTTGTTTCATTTTTTATAATTTTACTTAATCTGGCCATCATGAAGAAACTTTTTATTCTTCAAAATTTTCCTTTTATGAAAATGACTTTTTCTAACAACTTTCAATATTCTCTAGTAAAAAAAAAAAATAATTACTTTCCTCCCTCCATGTATTGTGCACAACTTCCACATGGAATTGCAGATCCCATGTCCACTGTATTAGACTCTGGGTCTCATGAGGTCAAATCTGAAATTCTGCCTTGCTTAAGGGGACAATTTATTAGCTCATTCACCCATCGACGAATCCAAGCTCCCAGGCCTCCCAGAGATAAACAAATCTCTTTTAATCACTAGGTCTCCAACATTGAATACAATCCTCTGCAGGCTTACCTCTCTACATAGCAAATGCTCTGAGCTTAATGCCCATACCCTCACTTCTCTCATTTACCTCATTCTCACCTCCAAATGATTAACGATACATAAATAATAAATAAAGCAGGTCAAATTGATTATTTGAATAATTCCTAAAAATGACCCGTCACTGGAAGGTCTAGCTTTTTATCAGAATTAGACTGATGTATTGCACGCAAACTTTAGACCTTGAATGGTCGTGCTAAGCAACACATAGGCCTCTCATTAACCTAAACTCAATGCTGATTGATGCGAAGGTGCCTAATTCCTAGCAACTTCGTCAGAAAACCCCCCGGGTCATCGTGGGAAACCCTGGCGGGATGGGATGGGCTAGGATTGCGTGCTTTTCCCTCCATTTCCGGGCGACCACGTGCTCTCACACTGTGGACGCCATTGTCTTTGACTTCCCCACGTGGGAAAACGCGGGTAGTCCCATGGTGACGTCATGTCCACATGGAGCTACTACACACGTTTGAAACTAGATGTCTCTCATTACGAAGGCGAACCACTTCCGCGGTGGAGGCTTTACGCATCCAACCTCATGGTCAAAAGGAAGGCACATACCTAATAGCGAACAGTTCCACGAGGTTAGTCTTCGAGAGGTTAGCGAGTACCTACATGCGGTTTTCCCAAAAATCCGTCCCGGCCTTAGGAACACGAGTCAACTTTCATCGGCACTCTTTTGGTCAATTGGTATCATGTATTTCTATTTGAATTTTATTTATTTTTATTAATAAGCACGGCATCACCTATTACTATGCTTCAACCCTTCCCGTGGCAAAATTCAATATCCGTATATTCCTTTCTGAGAGCATTAACAGGAACGAAATTATGCACGATTCTTTCCTTCTTTACACAAAACAGCTCCAGCAAATTTGAAGCTCCATATTCCCGGGGTTGCAGCGAACACCGAATCTCGTTCTTTGCAGATATAAATTTCATTCCCCTATTTTATTATATTTATGTTTTCTTTCCCCCTCTCCCTGGGTAGCCATTCCTGGGGTGTTTTCGGGGGAAAGTGACCAACCAAAGGAATGATACAAAGTTGATGACGAAAAGTGCCAATTTTGTTGTTTGCATTGCATCATTTCGTCATTTAAAAAAAAAAAACTGTCGTTCATTTAGCCTTCCGGTGTTAGCTCCAATCCCATCCCCTAGTGTTGCCGGATATCGTGCCTCAGTCAAGTCATATTAATGGATGCTTCAGCCTTCGTATCGGTGCCTGGATCTTCTTTTTTTACGAATGAAACATTTTTGTCTTGAGTTCATGAGATGAACTGAGATTGAAACGGTGGTTAGCAGTGGCCGATCGATGCAGTGAGATATGGAGATATCTTATCTGCGCATCCCTGAATTTTCAGGAAGGCGTCCGACATTTCTTTCTTCACAGAGGCCTTCACTCCCCAGACCTAGTCGAGATGTTCGAAGAATTCCAGGTAAGCCTTTAACATTTCACGTCCACACTGAAATGGTTCGTGAGAACGAGCGTGCGATCGGTCTAGCGTTACGTGTACATGCCCGCAACGAGATGTCTCGTGGACCACGGGATTGGCCCTTATAGGCCTAATTGTTGAGGATTAAGTTTCTTTTGAAAAAAAAAGGCTTTGGCCTGACTTGAAGACAAGTCGCCTAGGCCTAACGTTAGTGAGTCCCGTAGAGAAAGGGGAGAGGTTGGAGAAGGGAAAACCCGTTGAAAAATTATCTTCACATTACTTTGTAACATTCATTATTCGGAGCCCATGAAGTCAACATTTTCCATGCAAATGTGGGTATCTGGAAAGCCAAGTAAAAAATGTTTGGTCAAATTTGACCATCAATGCAGCCTGTCGTCATTCCAGTCATTGTAGAACCAAGGTCTGAGAAAGTAAGAATTGAGAACAGAATCTAGATGACGCGCAGGGAAGAATGCACAATTGACGCACTACATTTGCAGTGAAGCAGCCCGTCAAGGGACTCACGGGAGTTCTAATATTGGGTGGCATGCACCAAATCCGTTTAACTTTAAACTGATTAGTTTTCATGATAGGCGTTTATTGGAACAAGTTTCTTTCAGTGAAGCTTCCTCCCTAAGGAATCCATTGCGAGATATTAGTTTGGCTTACAGTGTTTCCGGAATGACTTTAACCCCCGTTCACATGGGCTCCATACTTTTCAATGGACCCTGTTGGCGCCTCAGCAAAGTAGTACTTCCAACATTTCCAATAGATGTCGCTTCAAGCAATAGAGGCGTACAGTGCTTATCGAATGAATTCACCCCCCTCACTATGGGCTCCTATGGCTCGCCATGTTTTCTTATGGAGGATGGGCAGATCGCGTAACTACTTGGTACTTACTTGTCGATGCAGATGTCATTCACGTCGCTGTCTCCTGCATCCTCTGCCGTTTCGAGCGCTACGTGTAGGGGAGGCATATATCATCCTTACTCAGTCTTCCGTCAGACTCTCACGAAGTCATGTCGCGAAACTCAACTTATTTGCGCATCGATGACAATTTGAGGGAGAGAGTAATCAGAAAACACTTTGAGAAAACTGGAGTTTGGAAGAAGGAGAAAAACAGGGGGCATCGGAAGCCGAAGCTTTCAGATGAGCAACAGATGGTACTAGTGGAAGCCGTCTGTCATCAAAATGATTTGCTCCTGAGGGTAGGCTTTATAAGGTAAATCTTGCAACAATGGTCCATTTATTATCTAATATATTAACTTATATTAATATATTAACGAGGCTGCCATTACGTGACGCGACGAGGTTTCAGTGCGCATGCGTGACAGACCGCCGGACGGCCAGATCCTTCCTATTAGACCTCCGGCCGCCGGACGACTATCCATGGCCGATCAAATGACATCATGCCTGTCATTTGATGGCCGCCTTCGCGCCCTCAACACGATAGCCGCCTTCGCGCAAGCATGCGCGAAACATGTTCGGTATGGCCAGGCGACCGGGGGCCGGAGGCTGTGAAATGCTGCTCCATAGGTGCTAGGGAATTGCGTTAGAGTTGAATTGCCCCTGTAGCGTTTGTAATTCAAAACGTTTCTATCCAATGTTTAAATGCCTCCATATCCACACTTGAGACTCGGAAATGTTGGTTTTGGGGCTCGAACGAGGCCTGTTCAATTGAAAGTTTGCCAGGCGCGCTTGGTTAACCATTCGCGCGGAAAGTTGTCTGATCTGTCTGCACGTCATCGTTGTGGAGAGTAGGCCTTTAGTGTAGGCGAAAGCCTTAGCCTAACATTGGACTTAGTTAAAGGTTAAAGAGAAACCTGAATGAAGCCAGACCTCAGGCGTGGCTTCAATACGACTATCTAGCTTTTGCCGTAAGGTTAAAGTTGCATAACGCAAAGCGTAACGTTGCATTACATGGATTCCCCTTAATAGGGGATTCCCTCAACAAATAGGTTATATAGAGGGGGTAAACATATTGGTTAACACTGCATTCTATGTGTGTGGATGATTGTCCAGTGTGCTGTGAGTTGACCAGGCAGTACAATGGAGATGGATGGGTTGCTGGGCGACTCAGTAGAATAGGCCTCTGCCCAGAGATTTGAACATTAGGTCAGATGCACTTGTGAAATGAATGTTGAATGAGTAGACCTAGCCCTATATTAGATCGATTGTGAAATGCTGAGATGAATTGTCAACTAAACTTCATGATCTCAATGTTGGCAGGAAGTTCTTTGAACTTGGAGAATGAGGGCCATTCTTTTCACCATCTTCCTTGCTCAGTTTCGACCTTCAATTTCCTCAGTAGTAGTATACTCAGGTAAGAGAATTATCATTTTCAAATTAGAAGCCTACATTTGTATTCCATATTTGACCAGCAAGATTCAGTTTATGTGTAATATGATTGCCTTTCCAAACACCCATTGTCAAGGATCGTCTGGTATCATTGGTCGTGAGGTGGATGTGGATGGTGCCGTGGGATATTATTCCCTAATTGTGAATGAAACTGACATCATCATGTCAGTAAGGGTGAGATGATATTCCAGCCTTTTACTTTTTCTGTTTGAAAATAAATGCAGCAATTCCCAGAGAGGTCCAAGATTCTTGCATGAGACTTGTTATGGTGGCAGAAAAAACAAGAAGGGAGTGCAATATTTGACTAGAAAGGTCTGCATTTTTTTGAGGAAAATGCACAATTGTTTTTGGATTTGTTAGAGATTTTTATCCTGAGTGTGATTATTGATGTTTGAATTCCTTTTCAGGTTCTTTACCATCGTTTAGAGTGGGAACAAAGAGTTCCCATCATTTGCAATAAGAGCTCCTTGAGCTACCTTCTCCCTGAGCTACCTCAAGGAAATTTTTCTATTAAATTTGAAACTGCCATCAACAATACCTCCACCATTATCATTGTGAGACCCTTCTTCTGACTTATTTTCTTATTCTTATTTTTCTGGTATGAAGTTTGTTTACGTATCTGTGGAACCCATTTACAGGTCACCTCTCAGGTGGGGGAGAAGGTGATAGACAAATTCAAGCACCTCATCCCTCATGGTTGTCCCCAGTCTCCCATTGTACAACCCACCCCACAAGGTATCTTGTTCTCTCCTTTTTGGGAAAATTGAGTCTATCAATTTATAGTGAATGTATGGGTGATTTCTGTATTCTCACTGGAAGACCCTTCAGCCAGAAACTGGGACACTTGCTTGTTTCTCAGAGGCTCTTTCCTTTAAATGAACTTCTGCATATTGAAAGGATATTGGTTATGTATTTCATAAGAGCATCATGGGATTGTTTTATCATGGCACTTCAATGGAATGTTCTCTAAATCATTAACAATATGCAAAGACTAAAATATCAGTTATAAGTAAGTGATACCTAAGACCATGTACCCTGTAGAATCACTATTGCTCTACTGCAGGGAGAGTGGTTGCAAAATATGCTTGGCAAAAGACATACAGTGCTTATCGAATGAATTCACCCCCCTCTCACTATGGGCTCCTATGGCTCGCCATGTTTTCTTATGGAGGATGGGCAGATCGCGTAACTACTTGGTACTTACTTGTCGATGCAGATGTCATTCACGTCGCTGTCTCCTGCATCCTCTGCCGTTTCGAGCGCCACGGGTAGGGGAGGCATATATCATACTTACTCAGTCTTCCGTCAGACTCTCACGAAGTCATGTCGCGAAACTCAACTTATTTGCGCATCGATGACAATTTGAGGGAGAGAGTAATCAGAAAACACTTTGAGGAAAGGAAATCCTACCGGATTATCTCAAAGGAGCTGGACTTGAACTGTAACTCAGTCAAGTCGATTTGTCAGAAATGTAAGAAAACTGGAGTTTGGAAGAAGGAGAAAAACAGGGGGCATCGGAAGCCGAAGCTTTCAGATGAGCAACAGATGGTACTAGTGGAAGCCGTCTGTCATCAAAATGATTTGCTCCTGAGGGTAGGCTTTTAGACCTTTCCACTTTTTTCGCCAGCAGTTGTCTTTATTTCTGGGATGAGAGAAAGTTAGGATTATAAAATGTATTAATTTCTGGTGAAAACTTGACAGCTCCAATAAATTCCATTGATCGTTTCCTGAGCAGGACCTGCAGGAAATGGTCAATGCTGACAAGACTGGGGATTTTCGTGATGTGGATTCAATATCTATATCAGCCATTTCCAAAATCCTGAGGAAGCATAAAGTCACCTACAAGGTTCTGGACAAAATTCCTGCTGGGAGAAATAAACCCAAAGTTATTGAGAGGAGTTAGAACTATGAAGTAAATCTTTTTTTAATGATGACATACCTTCTTTTAACCACATTTTGGCATCTACTGAACAGGTTCGCCTATGTCCTCGAATTCCTCATGGCAGAAACAGTGGACCATCCAAGGTTCATTTACGTGGATGAATCTCCTCACAATCTGCATATTCGACGGAGATTCGGCAGAAATATTGTAGGAAAGTAAGGCACCTTTATACTTAAGTTTTCCATACCCAATACTGTCTCTATAATCATGACCTGTCACGTGATCACATTATCTGAAAAGTTACAGTGTTTAGTCAGGAAGGATTAACTTTCAATGCTGATTCTAGGAGGGCTACCGTCTCCGTGCCCGACTCCAGAGGCCGGAACATTACCCTAATCATGGCCATGGAAGAAGAAGGGATTGTCCATGAGTCTGTGTCCTTGAAATCGGTAAATTTTGGAACATTTTTTAATTTCTTGGACACACTGTTGAAAGAACCGGAAGAACCAAGTGTAATAATAATGGACAATGTGCAATTCCATGCCCACGGGCAAGTCAGGGATGTAATCGAAAGCTCCGGACATTCCTTATTGTTGACTCCTCCCTACTCCCCTTTTCTAAATCCCATCGAGGAAATTTTCCACCTCATCAAGGTATCTATACTCTGTTCCTTTTAGTCAATCGCGCTCAATAGTCGAAGAAAAAGAAATGGGAATAGCTTTTGAGCAATGAGCTTCATGATTCTTTTTCCCGCAGCACTCCATCAGGAACATGAAGCCAAGCACAACGGATCAACTCGTTCGTAGCATATGCGAGAGTATTGGACTCATCGACTCCAAGAAATGCAAATCTGCTGTGTCACACTCAAAATCTTTCTTTGATGCTTGTCTACGAAAGCAGCCCATCCTAAATTCTGCACCAGTGGATAAGCTGTAATCCTGCCATTCGGTCAAGTGCTATATATTGAGCAATAATGCATTCAGATTTCGCATTCTCAATTTCACAATTTTGGAATGATTGGAAATAGTGAACATTTCTGTGTGTCATTTGACAATAAATTAAATACAAGTTGGTTGATAGAAAATAAAATGTATCTTCCTAGAGCACAATTCAAGGATATACAATTCTCTCTAGGATACTTTTAAATTTCGAGGTTGTGTTGATGACAAGATCTCATCCTAATCGCAGTGCTGGACTTTCCTCAAAACTTACTTATTCGAACTTGGCTAATTGACACTGTTCCTGCTCATTATTCTCTCTAGGATACTTTTAAATTTCGAGGTTGTGTTGATGACAAGATCTCATCCTAATCGCAGTGCTGGACTTTCCTCAAAACTTACTTATTCGAACTTGGCTAATTGACACTGTTCCTGCTCATTGTGTCTCTCCCATGAAACGTACAGGTGGATTAGGTTTTATGGGGAGCCCCTTCATGTTATCCGTGTTCTGGATTAGCGGGACTGGTTAGGATCGCGAACGCTGGTAACATCTTGTCATTGACAGTTCCTTGGATGAAAAACAGATGTCATTCGTGTTGCACCACCATCAGCGCCCTCCCCTACTCCAGAGGTGGGGGGGGGGGGGGGTGAATTCATTCGATAAGCACTGTAGAACATCATATCCTCATTTGTGAACATCATGCTCATCAGAATGAAATCAGTGACGACGTGTACTGCCTTTCTCCAGTACCTCTTAAATGCTTTCTTGTAATATCATATCCTTTGCAGACAATAAATGACCATGTGTTATATATACTCGTATATTTCAATATGCCTAGAAAGATTTTGGATTTGCTGAAAAATCACTATAATGCTCTTCTGAGAGCACACCTACCTGCGAGGCAACCAAACGTTTTTATTTGGCATGCTATTGACAACTAAGGCTCCTAACTAAATTATCGCCAATGTGGACTTTCAAGTAAATGTGGGTATTGGACGCAACATACGAACGTCGTGCATGTCCAGGGTGAGTGTATGTGAGGAGTGCCTCGGCGTACCAACTATTCTTTCCTTATTGGGCTCCATGGGCCTATTCGGATGAAAGATGTCATACTGGAACTCGACCTTCCCGTTAGAGGTTTTCTCTTTCCTACCCTAACTTACGTAGGCGCAGAATTACAGGGCAGTCGCGATAGGGGGAGAAATTTGTCGGCACGATCGTTCCTTTCTGTGCTGGCTGTGCTTATTCCGTTGTCATCCGGAATGGAAAGTAAAAATAAGCCGTCGAAAGATGTCGGATCAGAGCATCTCGTGCGTGTCCTTCTGCTCTCTCTTCGTCAGTTTCACTGTTCCTGGAAGCAGTCTGTGAAGCAGCATTTTGTGCCCGTCGTCATGCACGCATATTCACCGACTGGCACGCCAGAACTTCTCTCTTTCTCGCGCGTTCAGTAGATCTCACCGCAGAAAAGATCTAAGTTACTTTTTCCGTGGTATTTCGAAAACGACGAAATTGAGAATATCGGAACTCCAATTCAATGCTGCAAACTTACGTGAAGCACTGTCGTTAACGGGCGACGAGACTGATCCCAAACAGCATGTTCACGTAAACAAGATATCAATTTTTTGCAAACAATGTAAATTTGTTGCGATTGGCATGAAAATGACATCACGTTTACGTAACATTTACGTTCCTATAATTACCCCACCACAGTGTACGTGTATTTTACAGTAACTAGACGTCAAACCAACTGACATGAAGTACATGATGTCAAGTTTATGAAAAATTAACACCACACCAGCCATATGGAACTTTAGCTGACCACCCTGCAATTGCAGTACCAAGATTCCTCACATGATGGAACCCTTGTTCCCTGCATCCTTCAGTTACTATTAAGAACTGGTTTTCCTGATATAGTATCAGGTATTGTTTACCATCCTTCTACTTTTTATTATGCTATCAATGAATATATATATGGGAACCATGAAATTATATATATATATATTCATAATATATGACTCAGGAAATCATAAAATGTTGAAGTTGAGCTTTTTATTACAGCAGTGCACGAGATTAGGGATGAGTAGAATCCCAGCCCCTGCTCCTTTGAACATCTACTCCTTCTCCCGAGATTCCGGAACGGGAGGAGGAAGCAGTAAGTCACTTTGGCACTCTTGAGTACTGGTGAGGACGACTACTCGTGTACTCGCCCAACCACCTTAGAGTTCTGAAGAACGTAAAGGAATAGGAGATTCAGTATATCAATTCTCTTCAATGGTACTGATGAACTCTTTAAATACGCATGAAAGCCAGGGGAAAATTCGCATAAATCTTACGTAAAATGAATGTGAACATGCTGTTTAGAATGCAAGCGGGAATGTCAAGTTTACATAAAATTGACGTCAATTTTATATCGCCGTTTACGTATCACAAAGGTGATATTTCTGCACACATGTTGACATTTTCTTGGCAATGGTTTGCGTAAAAATGATATAAAATAGAAAAAGAAATTATTCATTTTATATAAAATTAACATAAACATGCTGTTCGGGGTAACGCGATTAACTATCGCAAATGATGATTGCCAGCAGTTGCCATAGTCGCAAACTTCCGTAGCCGAAAATACCTTGTACTCTCGTTGTCGGTTCTGGGCAAACGGCCCGGGAAGGCATTAAATGCAAAGCTTTTTTAACTGGCAAAATTAGGCTCCATAACGTCAAAATGGTAGGAATTTTATAACTTCGAACACAATAGTTATCTCCACCAGGTTAGAAACTTTTGTATGACACCAGTATAAAAATGAGACATTGAAATGAGACACACCGAACGAATTTGGAACTCTCAGGAATCAGATGAAGAAAGGGAGAATGGTTCCCGCCATGTTTTAATTTAAAAGATCGCCCGGATAGAGTGGAAGAAGACTTTGAGCTCGGCGGATGCGGATCGGTTCGATCCGGCCGATCTCACCCGTGCATCCCGAGTGCAGCGAGGTCGACGGTGAGAGACCTCCAGTTATGAGGCTCAGAGGACAAAGCGCCCGTTGGACCTGGTCCGATTGGCAATCGAGTTTCAGGTCGAGTGCGGGTCCGGATGTGCAAGCGCGCGGCTCGGAATGCGTTCGGTATTTTGCTATTCTCATTGGCGAATTTGTGTCGTATTGCATGAAAATGGGACGATTTTTTGGGCTCTTGATCGGAGAAATATCGCCTCCGGTCTTAAGCTTTCGATTGATATCTCACTCGCGAAAATCCGTTCATCCGTCTAGGAGGAGTTACCCCGGAAAAACAGATTATCCTCTTATGTTTCATGCGTTTGTATATGGATAAGAGATGGCCTGACATAGAATTCACACTACCCATCCCTAAGAAGATGCTTTTCGGCGTATAGGGAAATATTCTTGGGTTTCTAATTTCCCGCTGTAACTGACTTGCACGGTCTCCCGAGCCAAAGGCACGCTTCGCAACTCTGTCTGCTTGCACAGAATGTCCTGCATTCTGAGCCGTTCCACACGAAAATACGCTAACGCGCAAATTTGCGAGAGTCCCTTCGTATCCCCTTGGGGCAAATACGTCATCTACGACCTGGAATTCTCAAGTTTAGAGGCCAAAGCGGGCTGCGGGCGGGCCATGTCAGCACGTCACGATCCGCGGCTCGAAACAGCAAGGCTCGGTCGGCGATCGCGTTCCGGATAGGGTGCGGGCCACGATTCTAATCGGGTCGATCGAGTTTCAACTCAAAAAAGTGAACCCGCGCAGGCCTCTGACGCGTAGAAATACAGTAGTACCGGTACAACCACGTTCGCAGCGTACTTTTGGCATTTTTGTCCCAATAAGTATCTCTTCCAGGTCCTAAGCCTTCGATTGACACCTCACTCATGAAAATCTGTTCATCCGTCTTGGAGTTTTACGGAATGACTGACAGACTAGCCTCTTATGTATATGGAAAACACAGCCATAGAATGAAGTTAATGAGTTGCCGTGAATGTACGGGTACTTTAAATATTTTTGGAATGTAAGGAGATTGATATCTACCCATAATGAACAAAGCTTGCATATATGGAGTGTCCCAGAATCGAATGTACGCGAGTCCTCCCGCCTAACCCACGACCTAAAAAGGCATTTAGTCTGGCAGACCTCAGGCATTGGCGAGGGTAGCAGAGGCAGAGGCCGGAGCGGCTCCGATACGAAACCCCCTATGTTTAGTCAACTCTCGGACCCCTGTAAGAACTTTTGATTCAAGGGTTCCCGCGAATTACTCTTTGAAATGAGAAAGATCCTCAGAGATAGTATTTCCTCAATTCAGCAGCAAAAAAAATTAACCCTGACTATTGCCAGAAGCAACTCGGTTCCTACCAACGTCGATTTTATTGTCGGTTGGCAATTTTAAGGTTAGGCTTCACCGCCTCTTCGTGTGAAACATTATTTTCTCCATCCAGATTTCTTACTTATAACGTGAACGAAATAGGAAGTTGATAAGTGACGTTGACAAAACTTGCTGGTTGTGGTCCCATCTTCGAAATGATTCTTTTGTAAGGATGATGACTTTCTGCTGAAAACCAGCATCGATGAATACCATAATGTCTAGTATATCCTGTTACCTGCTCCATTCACCTGATGCCGGCAGGTTATCTAATCTACGACTCGGTTCTAGTGGCTGTAAGGGGATAACGGCCTCGTTGAAGTCAGCTGCCGCAATCCCCATGATGAAGCATGACGGCATTTTTTGGTTTGCTCATTAATTTTTTTTTCCAAACAATTTTATTGCTATATAGCCCACTACATAAGCAAGTGATAATAATGGTGGTAACAAAAGAAGGAAATGGTACAGAAACATCAAAAACAAGAAGAAAAAAAAAAACAAAAAAAAACAGGGATAACCGATGAGTCAAAACAGAAAGAGGAGTTGGGAGAGGACGGAGGAGCAAGACAGTTCCTTGAGATAATGAAGATGGAGTAAATTAGGGAATAAGAAACAAGGAAACAAGAAACTATGTGTATGCG